GGGCCTGGCCAGTGAGTTCAGGAGGCCACCTCACAGGAGGCAGTCGCCCGCCCCGAGGCCCACACCAAAGTCCCAGAGGCAAAAGATGCCATGTGGCCAGCATGGTTGGAATCTCCCTCTGGTTTTCCGGGTCGCTTTCCCTCTCGCCTCGGCTGGTTCTTGGAAAGCCTAGTAGGACGGGGTGGGGCGGAAATGACGGGGAATCGGGTGTCTTCAGAAGACAGCGCTGTGCACCCTGCCTCACGGCCAGCGGGTTGCAGGTGTGTCCCCTGCCTCCAACTCCTGGCGCCCGATGCCCCTGCCAGTCCTATCCTCCAGCACCCACGTTCCAGGCCCCTCGTAGCCGGGAACAGTCTTGGAAGCCCTAGCCCTGCTCTGAAGCCACCTGTACATGGGATCCATCCTCAACAAGCTGCCTAAAGGGAGATCCACCCGTCATGGCCCCCGAGCTTCAAGGCCCGAGTTAATGTCACCAAAGTCATCAAAAGCATGAACCCCTCCAGCCTGACTACGAAGCAACTCCCAGCACCCCATCAGGCCCCAGCCGGCCCAAGGGCCCCGTCCCTGGGGCAGCCCAGCATCGCAGTGTGTAAGGAAGGCAGGGTGACAGGACGAGGAGCTGGGCACACGGACACACCCTGCGCAGGGCCGCAGGGAAGTAGGAGGCTCCACCCTGAGGATGAGAGGACGAGATGCCATCCGTCTTACCTGACAGCCCCCCAGGGGCCAGGTAATTCGTTCCCCCTGTCTCAGCGGAGGAAGGCACAGCGTCTGGACAGTCTGCTGCGGAGGCAAAGGGGACAGACGTGAGCACTCACGTAAATTCAATACCCGAGCCCATGCCACGCACACATGAGAGCATGGATGACGTGCCACACCATGCACTCCACAGGACTGATGCAGCCACCCGTTTAGCGATGGTGCGCCCAGTGCGGTGCCCACTGGGAGACAGCCACAGTGCCCTGGCAGCCGGTTAATCATTAGTGCAGCCAGGCCCGGTCCGAAGGGCTGGAATTCTCCGGCATCGCGAGTCCCCCCCCCCAAGGAAATCAGGTAGTTCCAAGGTCAGAGGAGGCCTGGGCTGGGCTTTGCTGCTGTCAAGGGGCACGCTCCGGGCCTCGCGCCACCCCTAAGACCAGGGCCACGCCTCACCCTTCTGAAGAGAATCCCAGTTCCCTGGAACCTTCCCAAGATCAGTATGGGCCGGAGAGCCCTTTCCCTTTCCAGTCGGGGCCGACTCGGGCACAGCAGCGTGTATGAATCTCAAGTTGACCCAATGGATTTACTCGTGTCTACACCTGCGTCCTCACTGGGTCCAGACAGAGCATTCTCACCAAGGCTGAGCCGGAGGGGAAACGTCCCGCCTTTCCCAGGCTAGTCCAAACCCCCAGCTCTGGAAGCCTTCCCAGGCAACCCCAGACCTGCAGGGCTACCCGCCCTCGGCTCCCATAAACCCTCCTGGCAACCGATGCTTGGCGCGTCCTGCGGATCTGGTGCCTTCAGATCCGTCTCCCGCAGCTGACTCCGCTGCTCTGACGTCTGTCGCCCTCGGGTGCTGGGCACAGTGACCTCGAGTGAGGGAGGACAGTGACAATCCCAGTAGAGACGCAGACTCCACAGCTGCCCCCCACACAATGAAAACAAAACGTGACATCCGTGGACCACACCCGAGGAGGCCCGTGAGCCAAGCCACAAGACCCCATGTGTGTGTTCACGCACCCCCACCAACACAGGACTGGGCACAACGCAGGCCCTGATCCCCTGTGGGACATCCCGTGGCTATCACGCCGGGTCCGCCACGCAGAAGCTGGTCGACCCGCCCGGGGCCGCCAGGGCCACATCAAGGTGTGCCTTACCAGTTTCCAGCTAGACACACAAGGCCAAGTCGGCAAACAGGAAACCAAGTGGAGGCAGCTGAGGCGAGGGGCCCAGCCTTCACGGCCTCCACACAGCCCCAGGTCACCTCTGGGCCCCTTGAATGCAAGGCTCTCTCTCACCCAGGGCCCTCCCCACTACCTCTCCCAAACTGGAGGAGTAACTGAGATCTCGCCCGAACAGGGGTGGGGCATGGGGCGGCAGGCAGAGAACAGAGAAGCCCGTGTGTCATCGCGCGTGACGGGGCCAAGTGGCATTCCTAACAGGAGTCTACAGTTCTACAGGATGCACTTAATCAACAGACAACAGGGAGGCAGGAAGTGGAGGCCTTGCCAGACGGTGGACACCCTGCGCCTTCTGAGCGCCTGGCGGCCACCCCATTTTCTAAGGACAAGCTTCTCGGCCTCTCCTCCACCCAACCCAAGCGGGAGACACCCCCACATCAAATAAGACTTATGCCGGCCACGCCCCCGGCCTCGCCTGGCGGGATCCCAGGGGCAAGGTGTGTTTCAAAGGAGAAGCCGGGTGCCCCAGAGCAGAGCCAGGCCACATCCAGGGAGTTCGCCCAGCTCAGATCAAAGGCAGGGCAGCTCTGAGGCTGTAGGGTGTGCTCGTGAAATGCCAGCCCCTCTGCAGGGCCTTTGATCTTGGGAGGGAGCTGCACACGTTAATTAGGCCTCCCCACCGCCTCTGAGTAGCAGCAAAGTATACCTGTTCTACATGCGCCCAGGTAAACTGAGGTGTCACTGACTAGCTGAGGGCCACCCAGTGAGCTGAGCTGTACCCAAGAGTCCAGCCCCTATCCCAGGCCGTGGAGTCTCTGCCCTCTCCCCTAAAGGGAACCAGGCTGAGACAGACATCGGTGCCCCCACCGGCCTCAAGTCATGGCCAGCCCGTGGGGTCCCAGGAGCTGCACCCACACCCACACCATAGAGACACACGCAAGAACACCTCTAAAACCGGGGTCTCTCTTGCACCTGTGTCTCCCGCTCCCAGGCCACACCCGGGTGGCAGTCAGCCCTGGACACCGCCCAACACTCCGCAGTGCCAGGTGCTGTGGAAAGGGCTCCCTCCTCCATTGCTGCAGGCTGGGAGCTGCAAGGGAGGGGCCCCGGGACCCACACAGGGTGGGGGTGGGGGTCGCACCAAGCATCTCTCACAGAGAGGACGGTCCCTGGAGCCTGAGTTTCCTCGGTCCTGCCGAAGCCAGGGCCCCCATCACCATCACTACCACATCCCAAATGTCCCAAGTCCTTCACCCCACCCAGAACGCAAGGGATCCCTGGCTCCCAAAGGACACAGGGTGCAGCGGAACCCTCAGACTTGAGCAGGCACATCCTCAGCCTGCAGAACAAACGAAGGACCCAGTGAGCAAAGGCACAGATCCCCTCATCTAACGTGTCACCTGGATTCAGAAGAGACCTGGAGAAGTTAGGTGGAACCAAAGTTAAGAGACAAAGGCAGGGCCAGACACTCAGACTTCCTCATCAGGCCTTGGAGGCTAGGATCCCCAGTCCAAGCCCCAGGGGCTCGCCGGCAGCACCCACCCCAACCCTCAGTCACTCTTCACGCCATCCTCCAAACCATCCTGACCTTCAGACCCAGAGGACATGGGAGGCAAGCACAAGCCTCCCTTCTAGCTACCCTACAATCCCCACTCCAGAAGTGAGATCCGGTTTCAAAGAGCACACGCTGACTCCTTGGGGGATGGGGGTGGGGGCGTCTCTCAGACTTCTGACAGTGAGAGTCACAACCAGCTTGCTCCTGGGTTCAGCCTTTCCTGACACACTGCTGGCTGGGACCCACAGTGCCCAGAGCTTCCAGCCACAGCAAAATGGAGCCCCCAGCTCTGAGCCTCAAGCGTCCCCCAGGCTGCAGGAGCACCAGGTCCGCCCCCTCCCCACCGCCCCTTCCCAAGCTGCAGATTTCGCAGGAACGGTGCCGGTGGGTGTGCAACGGGTTAGGATTTTAACAGCCATCCACTGTAAAACCTGGTCCCCCGGGACCAGAAATCCCACTGAGGGCTTAGAAACTTACCACCCCAATTCCCAGGCCAAGCACTCGCCCACACGTGGGGTGGGGTGGGGTGGGGTCCTGGGCAGCATCCCATCTGTGTCTGACCTCAACGCCCCTGGCCACAGCCTCCAGCAAAACCAACCTCAGACCATCCTGGCTCCCCCCCATGTCAGGGCAAGCCCCCCCACCCTACACGAGGCACCCTGACACATAGGTTGTCTTTTCCCATTCAAACACCACGTTTTGGGAGAGCACTCCCCCCCCTGCAGGGTGAGCTTCCGACTGGCAGGCTAATCACTTCCTATTGGCTGATCCGGAGAACTCCTCTCCCTCAGAAACGCACATTCCCCTCTTTGTGGCTTCTCTGTTTACACACATTTTGCTACCTAGTGTCAACACTTGCTAATGAATAAATGTATCACTCGCTCACCCTAAACGAAGCCCTGGCCCAGCAGGATTTCTCCCCACCGGGGCAGGAGCCCCAGTGTCGCTGGCTTGGGAGGGTTCTGGGAATTTACCCCAGTAGCCTTTGAGCCTGGGGCTAAGGTCATTGTTCTCCCTGGCTTCGGCAAAACCTCCAAATCCGAAGGAAATGGAAGGAAAAACGAAACCAGGGTTGAGGAGGCCCCTTGGAAAACCAACCTCACGAAAGAATTCTCGGTGCTTTCTGCCAAAACCCAGCCGAGTTACACTCTTGGGGAGGAGAGCTTGGTCATTCCTGCCAGCCTTTGCTGCTACACACGCAGAGAGCCGCCGGTCTGCTCATTAATGACCATTTATCTGCTGCTTTGTAAATCGAAAGCAAAACATCACATGCGCTGCCGGCTGCTTATTAGACGGGCGGCGGGCAGGCGGGGACGCCTTCCCGGCGAGGGAGCCCGCGTCCCAGGAGGGCTGGCCGAGCAGCCAGGCTTCGGTTACACGTTCATTAAAGTATTCAATTTAGGACAACGCCCCAACAAAACTTTTAATTAGTGGGGGAAAGGCCCGGCAGCCAACGCAAGAGGCGGAAGGGCTCGAGGGGTTTCAGGAGCTGGCGGCGCCCAGCCCTGCACTTGCTTGCTCCCGGAACCCGGGCAAGAAGAAGTCCGGAGCGCTAGGGTGCTTGCAGGCATCCGCGACAGGCAGGACCCACTGCAGTCTGGACTTTCCACAAGCACCTTTCCCCTGCGGGAAGGGACTCAGGACACGGGGAGTCCCTGATGTCATGCTCGGTTCCAGGGGAAGGGCCTGTGCCGCCGGACGGAAGTTGGGGCAGACAACTGCACCAGGGCCGCTCCAACACCAGTCTCCCACGGGTCCTGCCCTGGCCCCGTGCCACCCGGTGCTAAGCAATGGGCAGGCAGAATCGCCAGACCTGGGACGGCCCCTGCAAGAATCCCGAGCTAAGCCAGGCTCGGTGGCTCAGCCTGTAATCCCGCGCCTTTGGGAGGCTGAGGTGA